TATACTTTTAATAAAAATAGTTTAAATAATATTATGAAGCAAATAAATTAATAAATAAATTAATTGATGGTTATTTTAATTTATATAATTTAAAATTAGAAGAAAAAATAAGAAGTAGTAATGCTTTTAAAAAAAAATGTAAATATATCTAAAAATAAAATATTAATAAGTCTTGGACAATTTAAACATACAAATGATTTAATTAATATAACAATTTATTTTTATAATAGACAATTAATAACTTATAATTCTATATTAAAAAGATATTCTAATTTTTTAAAACAAAAAAATTTTTTAATAAAAAAAAACTTAAGATTAATAAAAAAATTAAGTTTAAAATTAATTAAAAGAGAATCAGAATTAAAAAATTTAATATTAAAAACTATAGAAGATAAGAATAAATTAAATAATATAAAATTAAATGTATATAAAGACTTTTTAGAAAAATCATTAGAAAAAGAATTTATATATCTTTATTTAATAATATTAATTTTTATTAATAAATCTAAATTTAATAGTTATTATTTACATAATTTAACAAATTTAATAAAAAAAATATATAAAAAAAATATACAATTTAATTTTATAAACCTTAAATACCATTATTTAAATAGTGATATCTTTACTAAAGTTTTATTATTAAAATTAAGTGCAATAAAAAGTAAAGTATTAGAATCATTATCAAGTTCTATAAAAAAAGTAAAAGTAATAGAAAATAGAAATGTTATAGATAATTCAAAATATTTAAAAGATATAATATTAGATAATATTAAATATAAAAGAGTTTCAGGTGTAAGATTAGAAGCAAGTGGTAGATTAACTAAACGTTTTACTGCTTCAAGATCTTTATCTAAATTAAAATATAAAGGAAGTTTAATAAATATTAAATCATCAGAAAATTTTGAATCATCAGCATTGATAAGAGGTAATTTTAGACCAAATTTAGAATATACTAAATTAAATTCAACAACACGTATAGGATCATATGGTATAAAAGGTTGAGTAGGAGGTAAATAATAACTATAAAAAAAAATAAATATATTATAAAGATGAAGAAATAGTCTGAACCTTTTTGAAAGAAAAGGAAATAAAAGATAAAAAACTTTTATAATAACATAATTGAACAGGCTAATTTGCGCAAGAGAGTACAAATTGAGTGCGCGGTTTGGCACCTCGATGTCGGCTTAACTCATCCACATGAGAA